TACGTGGATCGTCTCTCGAACTCAAACTCGGACACGCTTGACATCAGTTTGTGGGACACTGATATCACCCCCATTACCTTTGTTTGAACCATCCGTTTGTCCCTAGAAGAACAAAACCAATATTGAATTCACACTTGAGAAAACCAAAATCTTGAAAGCAAAACAGGTCTCAGGTTTTAGTTCATGAGTATTGATGGTGATCATTTAGTAATCTCGCAATGACCTTCAAACTTAGCTAAAGGACTGGGTAAAGTTTATTAGGAACAAAAGAAGAAAAGCTTACAGTTTCATCAGGAACAACCGCATATCTCTCTGAAGGCGACACCCAGCTTTTCCCTGCAACAAGGCGATGCAAAACTGTGAATATTAGCTCCCTTGTGTCGTTTAAAGATTAGTTAAAGTGGCGTTTATCCTTTTTTTTTTTACCTGAAGATGGATCGATATTAGAAGATTCTATATGTTGTCCACTTGCTCCATCGACGCTCAGTGCCTCTATAATCTTGGGAAAATTCCTATAACCATATTTCCATTCCGCATTATCAATGCTGGGTAGTGAATGGGATTGTAAAGCAATGATTTTTGGTGCAAACAACGATTTCGATTGTCAGTTTTCAATATTTCTGTTCATAACACTAAAACATATGCAATCGAAATCATAGATCCATGAGAGTCTATCTAGGTGATCACACTTTTTTACCTGTCAAGTGACTCTCCAATGCCGAGCTGCCCATTTGTACCTCTGCCCCAAGCAAACACATTATTTCTTTCAGTCACGGCTAAGGTATGTCTCCAACCACATGACACTTGAATAACTTTCTGTAAAGTTCCACAAAAAATTGTGTGTTAGAAAAGAAGATAATGAGCTGATTATTATGGTTGGTGAGGTGAAACAATGTGACAAGCTGCTTGGTTAATCTTTTGTAGTGGTCATTGGAAGACAACATGCCTGATCATCGGGAAATCGCACTTGCACAGGAGAACACTGATCCAAATTATTGCCGACTCCAACTTGCCCAAACTGCATCAAGAGACAGACGATTAGAAGTATGTCCTATTATAGACAAGTTACTAAAGTAAAACAATTTATGGATTGCATGTCTTGCTGATAAGTCTATCGATTTTTCTTGAAATACCATCCAAGTACATGCAGCAACTGAATGCCCATATCATATGAATGTGTAGATGATATCATGTGTTCAATACATTCCTACTATATACAGTCAAGATAAAAACAAAAGGTAAGACATTCTTGACCTTATTCCAACCCCATCCATAAAGCTTTCCATCTGAAGTCAATGCCATTGTATGTCTCCAACCTCCCGAAATCTGGAAAAATAACCAAAGAAAACATATACAATGAGACCAGTCTTCTTCAGCAGGCAATAACTGTTGGAAACTTTAACTACTTGGTTCATGCAGCTTGTTATAAGAACAATATCCAAAAATTATTGCTATCCTATCTGATGGTATTTCAGATGTACGTATATGCATTTGAGGATGGATTTATAGAGCCTAGGTGAAACCTGGGAGATAACGCTGTTGCTCAGCGCTTCCAGTTTGTGAGGAACAAGGTGATCCTCCAAGTCTCCATGTCCTAGTTGTCCATATTTGCTCCATCCATAAGTATATAATGCTCCAGAGTAGGAAACTGATATTGTGTGCCGCCATCCACAAGCAACCATCGACATCTTTTCACCCTGTAATTGTAGTTCCCACAACCAGGAAGTGAGAATCATGAGAGCCCAAATAAAACAGTGCAACTATCAAAAGGGGCTGAAAATAAGATCCATGAAAATAAGATCCAAGGAATCAAATCCAGAAATAGTACTCGGTGAAAAAAGGCGAGGCTGCATGATATCAAGATCCATGAACTAAAGTTTATTTCACTCACTGTTAGAATACCAAAGGTCGGCTAATACAGAAACTAAATTGTGCTTTGATCATAGGATTCTAGAAGTTTTAATGTCTCTTCCCTGGCACCCATCCAAGGAACAAGATATCAAATATAAGTGACCCCCATCAATCTATATAGCTAAACCCGGCATAGTGCTGTGCATTATCAAGGGCAAGTTTCGTTTAACGGTCTTCGATTTATTTTATGTAAACTGAATTTCAAAGGCAAGTTTAAACAAGTAGCAGGTGCTTAAAACAACTAAAAAACAAGTCTCATAGCTTACACCAGCAGAGGTAACTCTTTCAGGAACCAAGCGGTCATTCCGGTCACCTAATCCCAAATTTCCATATCTTCCCCAGCCCCATCCATAAAGATCACCATCTTCTGTGACCGCAGCAGTGTGTTCTGCACCAGCAGCAACCATTTTGATTCGTATTCCCTGCACCCATTACAAGTTTGAAGTGTTGATGTACACTGGAGATTAACCAAACTAACTACATGAACTTACGGTCTCTGATCACTAAATCTTCTACTTCACATGGTCAGAGAAATTATCAATAGATCCTACCTTCTACCTGTTTTCAGATAATATAACGCATAGTTGCAGCTATTTTTAGACAGCCAATTTAGTAGCTATCACTCCTACATTCTAGAACTTGAATTATCATGTTGAACATATGTCCACCAGATGTGGACCCTTAATTACGAAGATCAAGTTGCAGAAATGGACCCAGGTAAAAACATTGACCCAATTCTACAGCATATTATCTTTAGTAAGTTCAGGAAACTACAAGGACAAAAAAGTCTAAAAATTATGTCATTAGGAGAATAAAAAGCGACACAAACCTCAAAGGCTTGAATCTTCTGAGGCACTAAAGAATCTTCTGTGTCCCCCAGACCAAGCTGACCATTCTGGTTGCGCCCCCAACTTTATATACAGAGTCAAATAGATATGTACACGGTAAGTAAAATAAACAAAATTATACTTGAAGCAATTAACATTATCAAATTCTGATGAAAATCAACCACAAGTGACAACGTTGAACTGCAATGTAAAAATGTGATTGATTGCACGTAACAAGAAGAATATTCATTAGCTACGAGAAAAAAATACCTCTGAACCTCTCCTTCCATGGTGACAGCCAAACAATGACTATCCCCACAAGCAATCTGCTTTATCCGAATACCGTGCAATGCTTTGATTGGCAGCGGAGTAAACAAGTCACTAGAGTTCCCATGACCTAGTCTCCCAAAATCACCCCTGCAAGAGAGAACATGGAGGGATTGAACCAGAGGCTTAAAGTGTATGCAAATGAATGTATTAGTACTGTTCTCAAAACAAAATCTAGATAGGAGCTTGTGGTCATCAATCATCTCAATTCCAGATACTGAATAAGCCCATTTCTACAGTGAAAAGCGCTTTTCATATATAACAAAAAGCAAAATCTAGAAGAAAGATTTTAACGAGGAAACAAACCATCCCCAACTGTAGACCTCCATGCGTGATTCAGAATAAGCAATGGTATGATCAGCACCACAGGTAACAGAAACAGTTTGGTGGTTATCTAACGCGCTTAGCTGCGTTGGAGAAGGTCGATCCTCCGCATCTCCGTGACCTAATTGTCCATCCTCTCCTCGACCCCATGAACAAACAATGTCCCCAGCTA